GATCCAATCATCCCCTCCTGTTAAACTTGGGTAACCTAAACCCCTCTTAAACGCTAAAAGTAACGCCTTCTTCTTTTCTTATTCCCCCTTGACTGCTGCTAAAACAAGGGCCCGGTAACGACTTTCACCTCCAACTGTACCAGTACAATTACCAGTACTAGTACTCGTACGATTACGATTCACGACTACCTTACGACCTTACGATTTCCCATGTTCTGTTTGTTCGCCTTGGCCTCGGTCGAAGCGGCCCCCTGCCCCCTTAAATGGCCACCCACATTCGTTGTCTCGTGATGTGGATGCAGTGGAGACTACTCTTCACCTGCGACAAGTTCTATCACCACTATTACAGTTGTTGCTATGATGACTACTGTTGCTACATGCTATTGAACTCTCATCATTGGCAGTGTTATGAATACGAACTCATTGTTACAATATTTGCTTTGAGGATAGTGATGGGCCAGCTTCCATAAGTCGGCGATGGCCTGCCCAGGATGCTGGAGACTCCAGGGACTCCGGATTCAAGCTGCTCCGCGAGAGCCTGGATCCAATTTGGGCGTGGGGAGCTCCACGGGGCACCATCAGGGCAGATTCAGCCGTGTGCCTCTTGGAGATCCTTTAGTGCCAAACGGACCTGGAAAGTCGAAAGTCGAACAAACCAGGGCCTCCCTTGAGCCCCCCTCTTGGCCTGACGGTTCTGCGGCTCCAGCTTCGCAGCTTGCAAGAGATCCTTCCTAGCAGCGCACTGGAAGCCACAGAGACTCACTCGTCAAGTCTGGCGCCGGGCTTGGCAGCTTGCAGCATCGGACGCCCGTCACCCCTGCAACCATAACACTCTGCCGAGAATTTCCGAGGACCGCTCTGAACCGTATTTGACAAGAATCTGAGGCATGAAGCTCGCGCTTGGCAAGGATCTGTCGCGCGCAGCCCCGCCGGAAGAGCGCCTCTTCATTCGATAATGAGTTCACACTCGTGATAGGAAAACGATGCGCCGAACATGTCCTTAGCATTGGATGGCTGCAACGACAGAACTTCGCCGCAAAGATCTTCGACCTCCAAGGACGAGCTTCCGATTCTCTCAATGCAGGAGACGCGTCGTGTGACAAACTGGCCTCCTCAATGCGAGCTCCTGTGCGCAGCAAGCATGCGGCCAAGTTTAGCCGAACCTGAGCAAGAGCATGAAAAGCAGCCGTGCTGAAGTGCACAAGGAGACTTAACCCCGTTTAGTGGGGCGCAAGCCGGTATTTGCAGATCCTGGCACATTAGTGTGGCTGAAGTGCTCCGGAGCATCGGCTGCCAGATTCGCGCCTCAGAACCGTCCAAATCTGCCTTGATTTTGGCCAATGCCTCTTCGGCACGAGAGTTCAAGTTCTACTTTTACTTGCGGTCAACCGACATCGACTCTGGATCGACCTCTGCATAGCATTCAGCTGCAGCAGCAAACTGCTGCGCCTGTGCAGAAGCGGCCACAGGCACTACGCCTAGCCTGAAGTGTCCTGGCAGCCTCGAAAAGCTGGTTGCCCTTTTCCCGCAGACTGCAGGGCGATGTCTCCTTGCTGGGTGTGTCGCTTAATTCTGCTACCCAGCCCAGCGGGTACAGAAAAACACCATGACAGCCTGCATGAGCTGGAGATCTTGCTCATGGCAGGCGCAACACCATGTACTTTGGCCCCAGAACGGGTTCTAATTCTCTGAGGTCAAGCCCTGAGTACAGCGGACGTTTACAGAATCGTATCTGTTCGGATGGTTTCTCACAGAGAGAGAGAGAGAGAGAGAGAGAGAGAGAGAGAGAGACTGTATGTGCGTGTGGGTGTGTTCCGACGACCTGTGAGGATTATTATCAATCCTGCTGTGCCTTTGGAGATAAGGACTGCCCCGAGGGCCCATCGCAGATTTGTCGAATTTATCGTGCAAGCTGCATCGGAAACATTCTATCACTCTCTGTTTCGAGCAGTCGCGAAACGAGTGGGTGTTGAGCCCCAGGGTGCAATCCAGATGGCATGAAGAGTGTATGCTGCAAACAGAACGGAGCTTTTTTGGTTCCCGCGCCAGCACATCATCCCGTGGCTACTCGGCTACTCCTTCCCTCCGGAACGAACGAAGAGCCTGCAGAGCGAAGGAAAGGGTATATGTGGGTGTATTGGGATTAGTTTGCGGAACCCAAAAATATTGGATTGATGGACTCCAATACAGTTGCAGCTGAGCGACAGTCGTAGTAGCCGACCACTGGCCAAAACCTCCCGCAGTGCCTCGCAGTCTTCTGTCAGCTCCTTCCGTAGCCAGACACGTTGATCGCTAGAGTAATCGTTGCAGGCAGCAAAACTAACGTTTCTTGTTTCGGGGTCGGGAAAGTCCTTGATGTCATCATCCACGAAGAGCCCCGTGGCCTTCAAAGCAACAACTCAGCAAGATCGGGAGCGCAAAGGCAGCCGGGGCCTCGCTGCCGTGGCCTTCCATGGAGTCAGCCAGCAGCTGCAAGACAAAATTCACCTTGGGGGGGGGCTCTGCGAGACTCTCCAGATCATGGAGCGAGCGAAAAAATGGCAGGGCTGGAAAGCACATCAACTTTCGACTCTGGGACCCTGCCTTGGACCGGAAGCCTTCGCGCTTGATGCTCCGAACCTCGACGTTTCCACGAAGACCTGGCAAGTTTGATGGGTCGAATCCCAGCTTCGAATGCACAGGCGCAGCATAGCAGAGGCGTAGACCTGGCTTAGACTTTTCTTGCGCATCCGAAAGCAAGCCGACAGTTCAACAGAAGGAAGGCGCGAACGTGATGCAAGGCATGCAATGCGAGGCTTCTGCTGGATGCTCACGGGCAGCCGTCATTTGCATTCTCAAGGATTTTTCAGAAGATCCTCAGATATCATCACGGAGGCTGCAACTTAGCGGATCAACTAAGAGGCAACTGCCGCCCTCTTGATTGAAGCCAGCTGCCAAAATCTCCTGTGCCCTGCACTGGTCGTTGCACTGGAGTGCCTTGGAATGTGGTGGCTGTGCCAGTGAGCGGCTCTTTCCAAGCTAAGAAATCGGCTTCCAGTAGTTGCTCCTCCAGTTCAATTGTTCGAGGACTGGCTTTGTGTTCACTGCCTGACGAGGAGCATCTATGCGCAATCACAAGTGCTTGTGCTCGGCACCTTCCAGTGTCTCACACACCGATGATGATATCGAGAGCTTCCTGGATGGATCCGGCGCGTCCTCCATCCTGCGACGTAAATTTCTGAATCCGAATCGAGATCGCAGACAGAAATTTCCCGGGAATGTCCTGGGGAATGAATAGTCCAGCGATGCACTCAAGGCTCCACCAACCTCCCGCAGAATAGCATGTGGCAAAGCCTGGCAATCTCCATTTGCAAGGACTTGCCAAAAGGCCAAAGGTCTCGAAGCGCCAGGCAGTTGCAAGCCTCGAAGGGCTGTCCTCCTGCTGGCAAGCCGCGCAAGTCGCACCTTACAGGAGAAGGCAGACAGGGAGGAAAGAGTCAACAAAGGTTTCGAGGGCCGCACAAGCATAGCCCTGAGCATGGGTCGGTGACGAAGAGAGCCGCTTCCACGTCGGGCAACACGAACCTGCGAGCAGGCGCGCGCAGAGATGCATGCACCGTGTGCTCTTGGAGCCGACATGCGACTCTGAGCTCTGCAGAAGCGACCTCGCCAGATGCCCCGGCTGGAGGAAGTGCTTTCCATCGCCTGCTGCAAATATCAGAGGCTCGCTTACTGTGCCAGGTCCAGAGACCGACCTAGGGAGACGTTCACAGGTCGAGGGCTTCGGTTGAAGACCTTGCAAGAAGAAAACCGAAACACAAAGCTGCTGGCATCTGCTGGCTGCAAGCGCATGAGCTACAGGTCTAGGCCATGGGCCGTCAGGTTCGGCGCTTCTTCCCGGGAGTTTCTCGGGCGTAGCCTCAACGAATCACCACGGCATCAAAGGCGCCTGCTGAAATCAAAACTCGAGGATGCCACAATCTGTTCTGAGCTTGAGGAGTGCAGTAGACCTTGCAAACTGCAAGGCTCAAGCATCGTGGGAAGCTTGCGTCCATCAGCGCGCCAACTGCAACGGCAGGCCCAGCCTTGGGGTTGATCTGTGGCCCCGGGCCAACGAAGCCCAAACTCGCAGCAGCAAGGCATCTACTTCATTTCAGCTCTGGTCCCAGCATCCCACCTTTGTGGGCCCATTCCGAACCATTCCGGGGCAGCCTCCTCTCCGCCGGTGCTAAATGTGCTGCCAATCACAGTGATGCCATCCTGTCAAGTTCCCCCCCTCTTCCGGGACTGTGACGTCACAGGTTGCAGGTGCTTGCTTGGGCCATGCCTCCGCATAGAGCAACTCTCTCTTTGGCTCACCAGACGAGGATTGGCCCATGGCTTCCGTCGGATTGCATGAAACTGCTGCGCGTCAGCGGATCCTTCTACCTAGGCTAGGCTAGGCCTAGGCTGCTGTACCACTCATGGCTGCTGCTAGTTGCAACTACAACACTGCACCCCCTAGCCGACGGAGCCCAAGCAGCTCTAGCAAAGCAATGCAGGTCTCTCACAAGTAACAGGCAGCGCTGCAGTTGGGACAACCTGAGGCTTCCGAAGTGTGCGGCTGGTCCTGTCCCCAGCAATGATCGCACATCACACTCGTGTACTCAAGCAGCGTGACCTCCTTGAGACGTGCGCCGATTCCATGTTGCCGCAGGAAGAAGGCGATATCCTTTCAGGGGAAACACATGCACAAATGAAGAGATCGACCGAGACGCTTCCAATTGCAACAGATGGCCCCGGCGGGTCCTCGCTCCGCGAATTCCGGGTCACAATGTACACGCGTTGGTGCATGCCACACAGTGCGACCTCATTTGTAAACAGACAAGCTGTTGTGAGTGACGGTTGCTTCCAGACTTCAGCTGCCGCTTTCTCAGACTTACTGGCCCAAGACGTGCGGGCCCCCCGACTTAGCTCAGCGAGAGCACAAAAGGTGCAGCGATCTGCGGTCATAGTCCGGCGAGCTCAGAGGGTCCCTTGAGCTACCACTGTCTTTGACAGTGGTAGCAGAGCCTCGTTGAGAAAAGGCTGTGCGCGCTGCTGCGGAGGAGCTGATCGCCTTCTACCCGATCCAGAGGACCGAGGGGTGACAGTGGAGTTGTGAAGTAAGGGCTTATGCCCTCGCCGGGCGAAAGCTCGGAGACAGCTGAGGGAGAAGACCAAGGACCGCCCTACCGTGATCGTGAGCCGCCTCCCAAGGACCCAGGCAAGACCTTTAAGCCTTGGCTGCGCGAGTTGGAGCTCTGGGCCTTTGACACGGAGATCCCGAAGGCCAAGCATGGCACCCGCATTCTTAGGAGACCGGGGGGCGTGGCCAAGGCGGCCGCGAATGAGCTAGAGACCCGGGAGATTGTCGGCGAGAAGGGCAAGGACAACATCATCGCGAAGCTCCGGGAATACTTCGCGCCGCACTTAGAGACCACGATGCCCAAGGCCTTTGAATCAGCGGTGTATGGGGACAGCCGGGGAGCGAAGGAGTCGCTCGGCGAGTACATCGTGCGCATGGACGCCGCCTTCCGTAACCTGAAGGACGAAGGCGTGGACTTGCCGTCGGAGGCCCGGGGATACGTCATGTTTCGGCAAGCTCGCCTTAGCACGGTGCAAGAGGACCAGCTCACGACCTGGACCGAGGGGAAGTTCGGGCGAGACGCCGTGATCAAGGCGATGCGCACGCTGGACAAGGTGCGGGAGCAGAGCAGCCCGACAAAGCGAGCGAGCTACTTGGACGAGGGCGAGATTGACTACGGCGAGCTCGAGGAGGAGTCCGACCACGACGAGGATTACATCCACATGGAGCAGTCGGATCTGCAGGACGTCTATGAGGAGGCCGAGGTGAAGCAGGCTCTTGCCACGTACCAGCAGGTGAGGCGGGCACTTCAGGAGCAGAAGAACGCGCGCGAGTACTACCCCACGGAGAAGCCCAAGGGCAAGGGAAAGGGGTCCGGGAAGAAGGGCGACAAGAGGGCTGGGACACGCGTCCACGTGAGCATGCTGAAGCTGCGCACCAAGTGCGCAAAATGCGGCCAAATTGGCCATTGGGCGGCCGAGTGTACCAACCCGCCGGATGGATACAGGAAGTCTGGGGGTCCAGCCACCACGGCGCCGAGCCCATCGGCGGGAAGCGCAAGCAGCAGGGCAGGGTTTTATCAGGCCACCGGAGTTGGTGATTCGAGTGCTTTCTGGGGCGAAAAGCCGCTGTTAGGAAGCTTTCTTAGAGCCAGCCGGAGCGAGTGCAAGCAGCCCAGGGTCGAGAGCCAGAGCGGTAGCGGCAGTTTGCATGATCAGCTGTGCCCGGGGAGTTCGTTGCAGAAGCCAGAAGAGTCCTTCAGCGGGGTCACCACCAAGTCGCACCACGGCGTTGTGGATAGTGCCGCGCAGGACGGAGTCATCGGAAGGCTGGCTTTGGAAAGGTTAGAAGAGGACCTGAAGAGCCGGGGGTTGAGGCCTCGGTGGTGCAACAGAGTCGTGCGCACAAAGGGCATCGGCGGTGAGGCCCGGAGTGTCGGAGTGTGCGAGCTTCCGCTGTGCATCGGGGGCGTGGCTGGTGTGATGGAGGCAGCGGTCGTCGAGGGGGAGGTTCCACTTCTCCTTCCCGTTAAGTTGCTGAAGCAGCTGAGGTCGGTGATCAACCTCGACGAGGAGTGCTTGGAGCTGAGGGCCCCAGACATGATCCTCCCGATGCATCGGCTTCCCTCAGGACACTACACTATAGATGTGCTTGACTTTGGTTGCAAAGAGTGGCAGTTGCCGAGTGAAGCAGCTCGGGTAGGGCGCAAGGACGAAGACTTTCGTATCGAGCCGCAGCCCATTGCGAGCAGTAGATCCTTTGGGGGTTTTGCGTTGAGAGAGGAACCGGGCCATGAACTTGTTGTTGCAGCTGCGCTCCGAACAGCCTTCGTCACCACCGAGATCAGGACCAAACCCGAAGCACAACCCGAGGCGAGCCCTTGCAGCCTGGAGGAAGGTGATGGACAAGCTCATCGACCTGATCATCTTCGCCGATGTGCAGGCCAAAATGGCCGACTGGTTCGGCGGGTTATTGGTGCCCTCGTGGCTGCCGTCTGCACCAATGCCTGTAGCCTGGGAACCCACTACCCCCAGAGAGCCTTCGAGGAAGACGGCCAGCAAGGTGGGCGACTACAAGCGTTGGGTGTCCTCGGGCCGAGCCCGAGTGCTACCGGCCCGCAAGTCGAAAGCCGCCCCGGCCGTGATCATCCAGGACTGCGACCACCCCCAGGAGCACCTCCGCGGAGCTGGGAATGGGCACAGTCGGGACGTTTACTGCTCAAGGTGCAGCGCCCGGTGGGACGCCAACGGCATGTAAGAGTACCTTGCGGAGATGCGGAAGCAGGAGGACGCGGCAATGAGTGGGCCCGCGCCATCTGGCACGCCAAATTGCTTGTGCGGCAGCCCGGCGGTGCGCCTCATGGTCAAGAAATCGGGGCCTACTCAGGGCCGGCACTTCTGGAAATGCGCGGCCCGGGTGTGCCAGTACTTCGATTGGGACCAAGCCGAGGTTGCAAGACTTCAGGGCGAGAAGAGGAAGGAGATGGCCGACCACAAGGAGCAGATCGAGACGTTGCAGGCCCAGATCGAGAGCAACGAGACCTACGAGAGGACCCTCCAGGCCCAGAGAGTGCAGTTCGAGATTGCCCTCGGCCAGCTTCAGCAGCATGTGATCGGGAACCAGGCGGGCCCAAGCCCGATGTGACGGGCCCCGCGGGACCCGAGACGGGTCCGAATTCACCGTACACGGTGGACCTTGCAGGCCCGCGGCTGCGAAGGAAGTGGCGGGCGATGCAGCTCGAAGGGAGAGTGAGTCAGGGGCGAGCCCGCATGGTTTCAGAGGGCTATTGGTGGATGCCGCCGCAGAGTGACGCGACATCCGAGAACCAGTGGCATTTTGCTGCTGGCCTGGTACCTAGCCAAGATGATGGGGGCAAGGTGCGGGGAATTGTTCATGAAGACTTCTATGGAAGCGATGGCATCACCCAGCTGGAGCCAAAGACACTTTCCAAGCAAAAGTCAAAGAAGATTATGAGGGCGCTGGCGGCACCACATGTGCACAGGGGGCGCTCAGCAGAGAGTGTCGTGAGCTTGGAGCCGGCATGGTGTTGGCATGAATTTCGGCGCGATTGTGCGCCATGTGCAGTTTTTGTGGTGCAGTTGCTCGACCCGGGCGAAACTTTTCGGTGGCAGTCTGTGGTCTTGGGCGAGAAAAGGGCGATGATCTTGTATGTCGGGCGGGAGTTTCGAAAGCATGGGTGCGATTGGTATCGGTGGCAGTCGGAGAGAGAGGGGTTGGCAGCGTTGTTGGTGCAGGAGGTCCGGGAGAATGACATCGCGACCGGCAGCAGCTTCTACGCGAAAGGCACGAACAACGTTGTCGAGCAAGTGTGGTCTAGTTTGTCATGTAATCCTTCGTTCGAGATGTACGGCTCTGTGATCAGGTGGGACTTCGAGGCCGAGAGCAGCGAGGTCACAGGCAGTGGTGTGTTTCACGAGGGCATTGCAGATGATCTTGATCCGGAGGTCGAACAAGAAGAGCCCGAGGAGGACACCGCCGAGGAGCCAGACCTCGCCGTTGCACAGGAGTTGACTGAGCAGCAGAAGAAACTAGTGAAGCGCATACACGACAACATGGGGCCCGATCCCACCACATTCCTGAGGACGATGCGGAGGGCCAAGGCGAGCCCGGCAGCACAGAAATTCATCAAGGAGAAGTTCACATGTGAAGCATGCCAGTCCCGTCCTTTGCCGAAGCCGAGTCGTCCTGCAACAGTGGTTCGGGGATATCGTCCAGGTGTCATCGTCGGGGTCGATGTTCTGTTCATGCCGGATGTGAACCCGAGGCAGCTCAAGCCAGTTCTTAACGTGGTGGATTGGGGCTCGGGATATCAGGCGCTGGAGCCCATGCGGGAGAAGACCGCCTCGGAGGCCTTCAGGAAGTTCTGGAAGGCGTGGGGTCGGCACTTCGGTGCACCAGAAATCTTAGTGACTGACGCAGGCACTGAGTTTGGACGTGAGTTTTGTGAGCTAGCAGCGGGCCGGGGAATAGTCACTCGGCAGATTGGCAGCCGGGCACCGTGGCAACAGGGAGTCACAGAACGTCAAGGTGGGTTGGCCAAGTTGTTGTTTGAGCGAGTTCGCGACGA